TAAGTACTGTATTTTCCAGCGTATAAGACGACCCCCTAATTTTAGTTAAAACATAGGTTTAGGCCTATATTCGCTGTATAAGACTATCCCCCCAGTTCAAAGAAAAGACTTACTTTGCCGTCAAGATCTGCAGGTAATTTTTGTGCAATTTTGGTCTTTTGCCCCCGATTTTCGGTTGACTTTTTTTCGTTTCAAAAGTCGTCTTATACTCCGGAAAATATGGTAATTGATTTACTGCCTGAAAAATTTAAAGTTCTGAAAGTTTAAGGTCTCTTGCCAAAAAGAGGTTTTAAAGCTAACACCTTAATTTTAATGGAGAAAGGGGAGGACAAGCCCTTCCCACCCAGAACAGGTAATCCAATTCCAGCCAGCAGCTATCTTTAAACAATGTGTTCATTTACATTTGAATGGCTACGCCTTTTGATAGCCTAAGGGCAAGTTTACATCTAAACAAGTTTGCTACTCAGTTCCCAGGGCAGAAAAAACAAGGTTTAAAATTATTAGATTTTAAAATTTATTCTTAAAAATAAAAAGTTTATTAATTAAAAAAAACAAACAAGGAAATTAAAAAACCTGATGAACAATATTAACTGTTGATTATAATAGAATCAGAGATACGGGAGGTGAGTGAACTGACAAAAGAGGAGTGTTGGACGGGGGAAGAGACTGAACATAAACTGTGCACCTATAGACGAGGACAATGGGGGGTGGGGAAAGGGCAGAGGGTGGGGTGGGAACCTGGTGGAGGGGGGAAAAAATGAGGAACTTTTGTAGTAATATGAACAATAAAGTTTGATTAAAAAAAGAAGATAGAAATCATATTAAGCATCTTCTCAGATCATAATGGCATAAAACTGGAAATCAACTACAATAAAAACAATCAATAAAAACAATAAAAAGAAATCAAACTCATGGAGACTAAACAGCATGCTACTAAAAAATGATTGGATTACCAGAGAGATCAAGGAAGAAAAAAAAAGCATCATGGAAACAAATAACAAAACAATCCAAAATCTATGGGTCACAGTGAAAGCAGTCTTGAGAGGGAAATTCAAGTTCTACAAGCCTACTGCAAAAAACAAGAAAAAATGGTAATAAGTTACCCAACCCTTCAACTCAAAAAGTTAGAGAGCAACAAGAAAAGCCCAGTGTAAGCAGAAGGGATGAAATAATAAAAATCAGAGCAGAGATAAATGACATAGGGACCAAAATAAAAATGTTCAACAAAACCAAGAGCTGGTTCTTTGAAAGGATAAAAAAGATTGATGAACCTCTAGCCAGGTTAACCAAGAAACAAAGAGAGAGGATCCAAATAAACAAAATCAGATGTGAAAGAGGTGAAATAACAACGTATACCATCAAAATACAAAGGATTGTTAAATACTGCGAAAAACTCTATTCCAATGAACTGGACAATCTGGAGGAAATGGACATATTCCTAGAAAAATATAACTTTCCAAAACTCAATCAGGAAGAATCAAACAGCTCAACAGGCCAATAACTATGGAAGAAATTGAAGTAGTCATCAAAAAGCTTCCATCAAATAAAAGCCTGGGGCCAGTCGAAACAGGTTTGGCTCAGTCGAAACAGGTTTGGCTCAGTGGATAGAGTGTTGGCCTGCGGACTGAAAGGTCCCAGGTTCGATTCCAGTCAAGGGCATGTACCTGGCTTACGGGCATATCCCCAATGGGGTGTGTGCAAGAGGCAGCTGATCGATTATTCTAATTGATGTTTCTAATTCTCTATCCCTCTTCCTCTCTGTAAAAAATCAATAATATATTAAAAAAAAAAAAAAGCCTGGGGACAGATGACTTCACAGGGGAGTTTTACCAAACATTTAAGGAAGAACTAAAACCTATCTTCCTCAGACTATTCCAAAAAATTCAAGAGGAAGGAACACTTCCATGCTTCTTCTATGAAGCCAGCATCATCCTAATACCAAAACCAGATAAAAACAACACAATTTGCCGGGACTGGTTTGGCTCAATGGATAGAGTGTTGGCTTAGGGACTGAAGAGTCCCGGGTTCGATTCCGGTCAAGGGCATGTACCTTGGTTGCGCAACTGGTCGATGATTTTCTCTCATCGATGTTTCTAACTCTCTATCCCTCTCTCTTCCTCTCTGTACAAAATCAATAAAATAAAAATTTAAAAAAAACCCACAATTTAAGAGAACTACAGACCAATATCCCTCATGAACATAGATGCCAAAATCCTCAATAAAATTAGAGCAAATCGGCTCCAGCAGTACATCAGAAAGATCATACACCATGACCAAGTAGGATTTATCCCAGGGATGCAAGGATGGTAAAATATTCGAAAATCAATGAACATGATACATCATACCAACAAATTGAGAGATAAAAACCACAGTCATATCAATTTATTGAGAAAAAGCATTTAACAAAATCCAACACCCTTTCTTGATAAAAACTTTCTACAAGGTGAGAATAGAAGAATCATACCTCAACATAATAAAAGCTATATATGACAAACTCACAGCTAACATCATATTGAATGGGCTAAAACTAAAACCATTTCCCCTAAGAACAAGACAGGGATGCCTACTCTCACCACTCCTGTATGACTCAGTACTGGAAGTATTAGCCATTGCAATTAGACAAGGAAAGAAATAAAAGGCATCCAAATTGGAAAAGAAGTAAAATTGTCCTTATTTGCAGATGACATGATATTGTACATAAAAAACTAAAAAACTCCATAAAAAAACTAATAGACTTGATAAATGAATTCGGCAATGTAGCAGGATACAAAAGTAACACCAAGAAATCCATGCATTTCTATACACCAATAGTTAACTTAAAGAGAGACCAAAAAAGCAATCCCATTTACCATCACATCAAAAAAATTAAGATACCTAGGAATAAACTTCACTAAGGAGGTAAAAGACCTATATGTGGAAAAATACGGGACTCTAAAAACAGAGATAGTGGAAAACATAAACAGATGGAAGAACATACCATGTTCATAGATTGATAGAATCAACATCATTAAAATATCCATACTACCCAAAGCAATCTATAGATTCCATGCATTCCCCATTAAAATACCAACGGCATATTTCACAGACCTAGAAAGAACTCTCCAAAAATTCATCTGGAATAAAAAGACCCCAAATAGCCAAAGCAATCCTGAGAAAAAAGAATAAAGTAAGAGGTATCTCAATTCCAGATTTCAAGCTGTTTTACAAAGCCACTGTTCTCAAAGCAACCTGGTACTGGCACAAGAACAGATATAATGACCAATGAAATAGAATAGAGAATCCAGATGTCCACCCAAACCACTATTTAATATTTAACAAAGGAGGCATGAATATACATTGGAGTCAAGACAGTCTCTTCAATAAATGGTGGTGGGAAAATTGGACAGATACATGCATAGAAATGAAACTAGATCACCAACTTATACCATACACAAAAATATAGTCAAAATGGATACAGGACTTAAACATAAGATGGGAAATCATAAAAATACTAGAGGCATCCAAAGGCAGCAAAATCTCAGACATATGCTGAAAAAACTTCACTGATACTTCTCCTAGGGCAATGGAAGCTGAAGAGAAAATAAACAAATGGGACTACATCAAGATAAAAAGGTTTTGCACAGCAAAAGAAACCATCAACAGAACAAGAAAGCCCACTATATGGGAGAACATATATGCAAACATTATCACTGATAAAGGTTTAATCTCCAACATCTATAGGCAGATTATACAATTTATGGTCAACAGACCTAAATAGAATCTTTTCAAAAGAAGACAGAAGGAAGGCCAAAAGGCACATAAAAACATGCTCAAAGTCACTAATTATCCAAAAGATACAAATCAAAACGACAATGCGGTTCCATCTCACACCTGTCAGAATGGCTATCATCAACAAATCAACAAATGACAAGTGTTGGCGAGGATGTGGAGAAAAAGAAAGTCAAGCACTGCTGGTGGGAATGCAGATTGGTGCAACCACTGTGGAGAACAGTATGGAGTTTCCTCAAAAACTGAAAATGGAACTCCCATTTGACCCAGGAATCCCATTCCTAGGAATATACCCTAAGAAACTAGAAACACCAATCAGAAAGGATATATGCACCCTATGTTCATAGCAGCACAATTTACAATAGCTAAGATTTGGAAACAGCCTCGGTGCCCATCACCTGATGACTGGATCAGAAAACTATGGTATTATACATCTACACAATGGAGTATTATTGCTGCAATAAAAAAGAAGGAATTCTTACCATTTGCAGCAACCTGGATGTAACTGGAAAACATTATGCTAAGTGAAATAAGCCAGTCAACCAAAGAAAAATACCACATGATCTCACTCATTTGTGGATAATAAATAACATTATAAACTGATGAACAAAAAGGTAGATACAGAGGAAATAAAGCATCAAATAGACTATCAAATTACATTGGGAAGGTTAGGGAGAGGTGAGGGAGATAAGAGATCAACTGACAGGCTTATATGTATGCATATAAGCATAACCAATGGACAACGCAAAACACTCGGGGGTAAGGGCATGTATGGGAGTGAGGTGGGGGGAGGCAATGAACATATATTTTACCTTAAAAAAAAAAAAAAGATTAAAAAGTGCTTTAAAAATACAAAAAAAACAACAACACTCATTCAATATAGGGTGGTCAAGGAAACTCAGAGTAGTAGCACTATTCTACTCTTAAATTGCTATAAGATATGCAAAATACAGGCAGTTTGATAGACATTTATCTGCTAGATAAATAGGACATTCCTATAAGTTTGATTTCTAACCCCTTTGCCACTATAAAATACACATCCAAGAAAATATAGCTGACATACTTCACTGTAGAATTTTTACTCTATCTCAGCTGCATTACTAATTTCATATATTATTTGAACAAAAACCTGTTAAATTTAGTAAGGCATTCTTTCCCTTTAACACCCGTCCCAATATTTTTTGTCTAATCTTTTGATAGTGGAAAAGGTAAACAAAAACAAGCTGACTTACAACCCAAGAGCCTCTCATCATGAAGTTCATGAGAACAGGAGTTCTGCTCACTGCCAGGGCTGACAAGGCTGTTAAACCAATGCTTCCTGCTAAGTACATGTAGGTAGAATGAATTCTATCTTTCACATACTGAGGCCAAATTCTGTAAAAAATAAATGAATAAATAAATGTTAATTTATAAGATTCTGAATGTGAATTTTGGTTGAATCAGATTAGCTGGGAGGTCTTGGGAAATATGTTACTGCTCTAAATCTTATTCACCTTATTTATCTCGGAAACGATGCATACATTGAAGTTACCATAAAACGTAAATGATAAAGACATATAAGGGAGGGGGGGGCTGATGGGTGGAGGTGGAAAAGAACAGAGGGTATAAATGGTGATGGAAATTTTTGAAGCAATTAAAATAAAAACACACACACAAAAAAAATGAGATATATGCATTCTACAAAATGCTGAACTTCAAAAGCATTGTGCTAAGTGAAAAAATCCAGGCCCAAAGGACCACACATAGCATGATTTTATTCATACTTCATGTCCAAAAAGGTAAATCTATAAAGACAAAAAGTAGATTAATGGTTTCCTGGGACTGGGAAAGGAAGGGTTACAACTAAGCATAAGGGATCTTTTCCAGGTGATGGGAATGTTCTAAAACAGCTGTGGTGATAGTTGAACCTCTATACATTCAAGAATCACTGAATTGTATACTCACAATGGGTGAACTTATAAAAAGTATGCCTTAATAAATCTACTTAAAAAATAAACACAGCCATAATAATAAAAATAAGACATAAACATTTGACTCATATACAAAGCAACACATTTTCTCCTAACCTTGGAAAAAGAATTTTATTTAGGTTTGAATAAATATAGGTCAGGGAAATAAGAGATCCTATCTGTATTCATTTTTCTGCTACACAAGACTTGACATAAAACATTCCGAGTGGCCAAAGGTAAGAATGAGAAGAAAATTGGAGCTTTTAAGGTTAGAACTGTTTGGGAATAATTTACTTACACAGCCTTTTCAATTGCTCCAATCTCATTAGACATTCCCAAGCCATAGTAGCACAATGCACCAAGGCCAACAGCAGCCCCTCCAGCAATAAACCATCTTCCCATCTGATCAACTGCAGAACACAGGAGAAAATGCAGGTTAACACTGTCATGTTTTAACTAAATTAAAATGCTGGTAGTAAGCCCTTCCCTAGGCTTAAGAGTAAATGAGGGAAATCAAATTATACACCATACTTCTTTGTAATAGCTATAATTAGTATATATAGAAATGGCCTTAGAATTAAGGGACTAATAACACTGCTGAACTGAAACCGGTTTGGCTCAGTGGATGGAACATCAGCCTGTGGACTGAAGGGTCCGGGTTCGGTTCCAGTCAGGGGCATGTACGTTGGTTGCGGGCATATCCCCTGTGGGGGGTGTGCAGGAGGCAGCTGGTCGATGTTTCTCTCTCATCAATGTTTCTGGCTCTCTATCTCTCTCCCTTCCTCTTTGTAAAAAATCAATAAAATATATATTTTTAAAAGTTTGGGGTATGTTCTCATGATAACTAGAAAGCAAAGATGAGAAAGAACCCTGGCTGGGAAGCTCAGTTGGTTAGTGTTGACCCTTGTTCAGGGCACATACAAGAAGCAACCAATGAATGCATATAAAGTAGAACAAATTGATGTTTTCTTTTCTCTCTCCCCCTTCTCTCTCTCTAAAATCAATCAAGCAATAATTTTTTTAAAGAAAGAAATGTTGAGTTAGATCACGTTGTGTCTAAAGTGACAGTAGCAAAGATGGTGCTTTATAATGGAGTTAAGGAAAAAAGTGAACCATGTATATGCCGCTGAATTAAGGGGGAGGATGCTTTTGCTTTTAATACTGAGAAAGAAAGAACTTAACTAGATAAAGGTATTCATGAAGACCAGCTTACTCCCTTTAGTCTAAATTTGTACACAAATGTTACTATTCTATGGCCATAGCATTCATATAATTTGGTTTCTAGGGCCAATTTACTGAACAGAAATATCCCATGGGATACCGATTAAGGCTGTCTCCCACATAATATATTGACATTTTGCAAGGTTAAGGAACCTTGGCTGGCTTTGGGTAGATTAACAATCTAGTTTCTGAACTTGCAAAGCTGAATTCCAAACTGTGAACTGAAGGTACAGCTTCCGAGAAGCTTCTAGGGTAGCCAGTTAATAGGACCTTCCCAGAGAACTAGACTTTTATTAAGGTCTGGTTAGGTGCCTACTTTTAAATATTTTTTCCATTGACGGTTCCATTGCTACTTCTTTGAGTTCTTGTCCAGTTTTCCCACGCCGGATCCCAATTCTTGTCTTGGTGGCATATTCCTGATACATATGAAAACAAAGACATACACCACCCACAACAAAAAAGAACATTAACGATAAAACAGGATCTTATTACACTAAAAAACTCTATATAAAGTTGGTACTTTATGTGCATGTACTTTCACTATGAAAGTACGGTAGCCAATTTAAATGTTAAATGGAGACCCCATTGTATTTGTGCTCTATCTTCAAAGTGACTTGCTAATTCTTTATAACTTAACTTCTTAAAGTTTCAGAATGTATATTTCATAAACTACAGACTTTATTAGCTACATGTTTTTTCCATCTGGAAAATGAGCTCAATAAAGTTTCTTTCCTTAACACAAAGCCAAAGGAATGACTACTATCTCCATTTTAGCTCCTTTTCAACAGTGAAACGGTTCATTTAAAAGGTGAAATCTCTTCTAGATTCTGTATATGTCCTTATCTACCTCCCGTTTCAAAATGTATACTTTTCTGAATGTCAGGATTCCATTATCTAAAGAAATGGCTTTCTCTCTTACCTGCCCGATTTTACTATTTCCTAAACAAAAGTTTAAATGACAGAAGAGAGTAATATGCAAATTGACCATCATTCCAACACAAAAGATGGCTGCCCCCAACTGGTCAAAGATCTTGCCTGCATGTGGACACAAGATGGGCACCACAAGATGGCCAGCAGGAGAGAGAAGTTGGGAGGGACCAGGCCTGCAAGGGAGGACAGTTATGGGTGATCAGGTAAGCAGAGAAGGGCAGTTGGGAGGGACCAGGCCTGCAAGGGAGGGCAATTAGGGGCGACCAGGCCTGCAGGGGAGGGTAGTTAGGGGTAATCAGACTTGCAGGGGAACAGTTAGGCAACAATCAGACTGGCAGGGGAGAGGTTAGGGGGTGATCAGGCTGGCAGGCAAAAGCAGTTAGGGGCAATCAGGAAGGCAGGCAGGCAGATGAGCAGTTGGGAGCCAGCAGTCCTGGATTGTGAGAGGGATGTCTGACTGCTTGGATTAGGCCTAAATGGGCAGTTGGACATCCCTCGAGGGGTCCCACATTGGAGAGGGTGCAGGCTGGGCTGAGGGACACCCCCCTAACCCCCGCCACTGCACCAATGTCATACATCAGGCCTCTAGTTTAGCAATATGATTGACAACTGGTAATAGTCCCAGGGTAAAGCTTTTCACTATGGGCTCCATGATCTCTATGCTACACCATAGCTCTCATCCTTTACTAGTTATTTTAATGAGAAATCAAGAGCTGTAAAAAACAGAAAAGTTCTAGTTCCTTTTCTCTTTCACACGAGATGAAGATGGAACAGAAAGATACAAAACTAATGGGGAGAAAGAGCTAATCTGGGGCATTTTCAAGGCTAGCTGTTCCAGTAAATGACTAATGGTGGAGCAGAGAGCTGGCTGGGGAGCAGAGAGCCAGCCCTAGCGGCATCCAGGTGATCTTTACCCTGCTGGGGGCTAAGGGCCAGGGGTCCTTCCTGATGGGGCCCTTCAGCACAGGGGCGGCCTTGGTGGAGAGGCCCGGGCGAAAGGCCCTTGGCGGCAGCGTCCGGAGACACAAGAGCCTCGCGGCCAGCATGGTGATGCGCCAGGCTCTCCGCAGGTCGCAGGTGCTGGAGAGACAAAGACAGAAACCACCGTGAGCAGGGGAGGAAGGGCAGGGGTCCAGAGACAAAAAGGGGCCAATCATTTTTGGCTGAAAAGAGGGACTAAAGTGAGCTTTTAAAATTTTAATCTTTTGCTTGTCCCTTGTTAATTCAGAAAATTCGTCCTACAAAACCCAGGAAGAGACAAGTACCTAAGGTCATACTGCATTGCAAGGTTATAAGACATCAATGGAAACCAAACACATTTCTGCCAAACGTGCCAAAATGACTTCTCTTCCAATGGGATGCAAAATATTCAAGTTATCGAAACCACCTGGGATGCACCTTTAAGTGTAGATTCCGGAGTCTCTCTCTGCTGGTCCTAATGATCCAACCTCCAGGGTGGGACGCAGTAATATGTATTTTTAACCTGCACCCCAAAGCCCGTAATTCTCGCTGAGAACGCCCATCTCAGAGTCTGTCCGGCTTTGCTCCCAGCCCTGCGTCCACGGGCCCCCACCGTCAGCCGAGCACCAGCCCCGCCTGCACTCGCGGGGGCGCTCGCGGGCCTGCCCCAGGACAGCGGGAGGACCCGGATTGGACCTGGGCCTCGGATCCGGCCCTAAAGGCGCCCGAGGCCGCCCCAGCCCCGGGCCGCGGCGAGCGCCCGCGCGAGCCTCGCCCCGTCCACCCACCCAACACCGCCGCGGGCGACTCAGCACTCGCTGTCCCGGGAGAGGCAGCGAGGCGAGCCCGGGCGCCCAGGCCCGGCGCCGCCCGGCCACAGGTCACTGCGGGCGGCACAGGCGCCGCGGGCTGTGACGCAGCCGCCGCTCTCGCGCCCCCGGCGGCCCCAGCGGCCCGGAGAGCGCCCCGACCTCGGGCGCCCGCAGCGGGAACCGCACCTCAGCTCCGGGTCGCTTCACCCGCACGGCCCCTCAGGCGGCGAAACGCAGCGGCTGTTCAGCTCGTCCGCCTCCGCCGTCAGCCCACGCAGCTCCCCTGCTCACGGCGTGACGTAACGTCCGGAGAAGCGGCCGCACTACAGACAGCCAATCACAGGACGACCTGCGACAGAGGGGCGGGCACCAGGGCGGGGTCTGGACCGAGAGGCGGGGCCAGTGCGAGGGGTTGGAAGGGATGGCCTGTGTCCCAGGCCAGTGGCCAGAGCTCTGTCTTAACGGTTTCCTTGCAGCGGTTACAAACATTATTCAACACGTGCAAGACGTGGTGTGAGAGTTACCCGACTCTTTGCTCCGGCCGCCTTTTGTGGCTCCTCAGGAAATTATAAACAGTGTCAGAGGTTTCAGACGGGAGCCAACTGGTTTAGCGCCTGAAATCTCGAAAGGATCTAAGTTACTGGAGGTTGGAGAGCAAGCTAGGAGTTTCCGTTTTTTTCATTGCTGCCTGGCCTGCGCACTGCACGTTTCACGCTGCAGTGTATATGTGCATGAAGGGTTGATGCCACAGGGTGTGCCTGTGGTCCACGTGGTTCCGAGGACTGACTGTTTAGATATTTTTGTGCCAGCACCTCTCACAGACACAGAGGTGTAGGGGATAGCCCTTAAGTCAGAGGGCTGTCCCCAACTCAATTACTGTCATATTCCTGGGAATACATTCAAATGAGTAATAAACACAGTCTTTTTGGGCTAATATTTTATTTTTATTTATTCATTTTTTAAAAAATCAACCTTTATTGTTCGTATTATTATAAAAGTTCCTCATTTCTTCTCCCCTTCACCAGGTTTCCACCCCCCCCTCTGCCCTTTCCCCACACCCCTCATTTGTGACAGTCAGCCCCGTCTGCCCAAGAGATAAGGACTGTGACAGTCGGCCTGGTCTGCCCAAGAGATAAGGACTCTGGGAACAGAACAGGCCAGGGGAGAAAAGTTTAAAAAAATAGTCAGTCGTAACTCAGCACCGGGAGAGATTAGGGTCATAAAAACTGCAGCATCCTGCACTCCTGTTGGGAGTCAGAACAGACATTCTGTTTGAAGCAAAACAGGCCAAGTTGTGTAAATCACCTAAGGAACAGCTAAGGACGGCCAGTTCTTTGTCCTGGGGGGCCAATCAGAGAGGGACAGACCAACAGTGGGATGGGATGGGAAAAAGAGGTATAAGAGGAGGGATTGCCCCTCCATTGGGGCTCTTGCCTGGGTGTTTGCCGGCTGCTGCGTCAGCTAAGGTTTGAGCCCGGATTCGAATCTGTAATAAATTCTTGCATGCTTAATCAAATTGGCTCTGGTCATTCATCTCTTGGGGACTCGCTTCGTAACACCATTGTCCTCATCCATAGGTGCACAGTTTATGTTCAGTCTCTTCCCGCATCCACAGCTCCCCTTTTCCCCGAGAATTGTCAGTCCACTCCCCTCCCGTATCTCTGATTCTATTATAATCAACAGTTACTATTATACATCAGGTTTTTTAATTTCCTTGTTGTTTTTTTAATTAATAAACTTATATTTTTAAGAATAAATTTTAAAATCTAATAATTTTAAACCTTGTTTTTTCTGCCCTGGGAACTGAGTAGCAAACTTGTTTAGATGTAAACTTGCCCTTAAGCTATCAAAAGGCGTAGTCATTCAAATGTAAATGAACACATTGTTTAAAGATAGCTGCTGGCTGGAATTGGATTACCTGTTCTGGGTGGGAAGGGCTTGTCCTCCCCTTTCTCCATTAAAATTAAGGTGTTAGCTTTAAAACCTCTTTTTGGCAAGAGACCTTAAACTTTCAGAACTTTAAATTTTTCAGGTAGTAAACCAATTACTTAGCATTTTCTCAAATCAATAATTGTTACGCCCAGACTTCGTGATCCCCAAGGACCACTAGGGAGCCGAGTCCGATGCAATAAACAAAAGAGCCTTTTCCATGCTAGCATGGGCTCTGTCCCACTCACACCAGCAGCATGGCAGAAGAGAGCGAATTTTGCCCAGTCCAGGGGTTTTACTCCGGTCGGTGGTGATGTCACTGCTTCGGCTAACCCTGATTGGTTGTGTGAGGGCTAGGGTTCAATTACAGAATGGAGGATAACTCTGCCCTGCCCTCTCATTCCCCCCTTATCTAATGTGCCTATTCAAATCATTGACTCAGCCTACTTCCTTTCAGCATAAACAACAAATACAGTTACCAAGACCCTTAGTACCACAGTTCCCATCAGTATTGTCCTCACTGAAGTCCAGTTCCCCCCCTGCAGGCATCAGTTCTCCTCCTGGCCTGTAGTTGCCAGGATTCAGGCCACGCAGGAGCTGGGAGTGGTGTAGTCAGGTCTGGGTGCCATCTACTTCAATAGCAGTGGGCGTGCTCAGGATAAGAGTGCAGCATCCCTTTGTGTCCTTGGGCAGTGAATTTCTTTACCCACATTGAGTTCCAGGGCTACAGGGTCTGCGGTGGGCACTGGCAGTGCATCTGGAACAAGCAAACTGCAGAGTCTATAAGGACTTGAGCAAGGGAATGGTTACCATACATGATCCCCTCCAAACAAAAAGGGGGGGAAACTTGTCCCAGTAAGGGGTACACCTGGCCCTCAAGAGGGCAAAGGACAGGGGGTTGGTCCAATTTTCACCGATTCTAGGACACATTTAATTAAATCCCTTTTTCTAGAGTCTTACTTTTGCTGTCTTAAGGCTAGAGCTATACTCTGAGATACCTTAGCTACCAAGGTGGGGCTGTTATCTGATACTGGCAACCTGAATCTAGGTATAATCTCCTGGAGTAATTTCTTGACTTCTATAGAGATAGTTTCTGTCTTAGTGGGGTATACTTCAACCTAATCTGAAGTGTTTACAAAAATTAGACCTTAATGCTGGTGGTTTAATCTGTGAAATCCACCTACCAATGTTCTCCTGGGGAAGTTCCCTGGAGCCCGAATTCCCAGGGGGACCCCCTTACCTTGCTTAGTATTTACCTGTGCACAGACAGTACTTCTAGCAACTCTGCCTCACAGAAGTTCAGAAGTCTTGGAGACACCTAAGTGGGTAACCTGGTGTAACTGGGCAACTAACGTCCGACCTAGAGCCACTGGGACCAATAGTCTGCCATCTGGTAGAGTCCACCAACCATCTGGTAATGACTTGCTTCTGTTCAGCCAATTCCTCCTCTTGTTTGGTGTAGGTTGGGGTCTGGCAGACTTGTAAAGGCCCTACTAGTCTTTGGGCGTCTTCCTTAGCAGTTTGGATTGCGGCTCTATTTCCTCTGGCTTCAATTGTCTCCCCTTTCTGATGTCCTGTGCAGTGCACTATTGCAACTGCTTTCAGGAGTCAGATGGACTCAAATAAGCTAAAATCTCTTCCTTATTTTTAATGTTCTTTCTGGCTGAAGTTGGTAATCCTCTTTCCTGGGGGACGGCACTGTGTCCCCATAGAAGGGCCTGGATTAAGGCCAAAAGTTCAGGAACTGTGCCCAAATGGTGTTGTCCAGGGTGACTACTGCTGCCCCTGTATATCAGATCCCATCCCGAACGTAACTGCTCCCATCCGTGAACAGTACCTTGTCGTCTGTTACCTCTGTGCAGTCATGAATGGGTTCCTCCATCATCATCTGGAAGCAGGCTGGTAGGGTTGAAGGTCACAGTCTTGTGAAACCAGACACAGGGCTGGTCCAGGAGAAAAGCTTAGCTCTTGGTCCAGAGTCTGCTTATCTGCGTCCTTCATCAGCAATGCTGTGGTTGCCACTGCCTGGAAGCACGCTGGCCACCCTGCTGTCACAGGGTCCAGTCTCTTAGATAGGCAACAGGTCTCTTCCAAGGACCTAGAGTCTGAGTGAGAACCCCTTTGGCAATGCCTCTTACCTCATGTAAAGGTGGAAGGGCTTCACGTCTGGCGAGGCTAGGGCAGCTGCTGAGATGAGAGCCTTCTTTAGCTCCTCAAAGGCCCGTTGTTCCACTTTGGACCAGTTCAACAGCTGCATTCCCCCAGTACGTGTTCCTTCCGAGGACCACAGTCCTTTTTGATGTCCAAGGAAAACAGGCAGTTTGTCCAGTGGCTTCCTGAGCTAA